GGTGGGGGGGGGGGGGGGGGGGGGGGGGGGGGGGGGGGGGGGGTGGGGGGGGGGGGGGGGGGGGGGGGGGGGGGGGGGGTGGGTGTGTGGATGTGGGTGTGGGTGTTCTTCTTGTAGTCCACACCCACACCCACACCCACACCCACACCCACACCCACACCCACACCCACACTCACACACACACCCACACCCACACCCACCCACACCCACACTCACACCCACACCCACACCCACACCACACACACCCACACCCGCAGCCACACCTACACCTACACACGCACACCCACACCCTATCAGCGATTATAAAACAGGTGAAATATACGATTCAATAACATAAAACCTTCGGAAAAATACATGAGTGATAATATCAAAATAAGAAAGACAATAAAGAAAAACAAATAAGAGTATGCATTAGAAGAAATATATAACAGAATTTAGGAAAGAGATAGTTATCGTTAAGAAATACGAGAAAAACATCTTGTATATATAATAATGCTTATATCTGTAATCCAAAAAGGGCATCTGATATTTATTCAACTGTTCAACTATGTAATTATTCAATTATTCAAATATTAATTCTATTCCACATTCATGCTCACCATGTTTACTGCTTTTCCGTCCAGAATCTCCTCTCCTGCTCATGTTAAGGGAAAAGATGTAGTACCGTTCGATCTGAAGTATACGATACGTTCTGGACCATTCTTAGCCAGTTCTTTCATCTCGACTATTTTAAGACAGAGCGGCAGATAGGAGCAACCTCATAGCTGGTTTTATAGTAGGCATTCTTGAAATTCAGTTGAATAATGGAATAGTTGAAGAATAAGGAAATGATTGAATAGATGAATAGTTGAATCCAACTTTTAATTTTAACTTCTACAGATATGAAAAAAAAATAATTTCTAGGGTCTATGATTTTTAAGAATTTTATTTTGAAGCAGAATACTATCGTTATTGATTGGAAGCTGATTGCTATTCTCAGCCATCGTTGTAAACATATACCAACCTTGTACACCATGTTCGATTAGATCTCTTGAATCTGTGTGTAAGCCAAGCTCAACCGGATTATTATTGTATAAGACGGGCGGTAAATTGAACGCTGCACCATCAGCACGATAACATTCAAGTGTTTGTATAAAATTAACGGGCCTATTCGAATCGGCATTGTAGCACACATCTACTTTAATTTTAACCTGTGTACATTCACCTGAATCAACAAATTCATGAGCTATTCTTTCTAAACAACGCCAATTTGGTAGATTTGGTCCATATTTGCCTTCTGAATCAGCTATAGTCCAGCCTTGATTGAGATGTCTAAATTGGAAAGCCAGATTAAATGCATGTCCAGTTCCTCCGTTGTACGAAGCTATCAAATGACCAGCATCATCCATTATTCCGGCATTTGTTAAATGTTTGTAGAAATCTTTTAAATTCTTTTGAAAATCTTGTCGATTGCCAGATCTAAGCGTTGACTTGTCTATTGCACCATAGACTGTAGTAACCAAGTCAACACCATTTCTTTTCATTACATGAACTTCATCGACTGCACCAAATATTTTCGTTTTGTCTATTATAATTTTATAATATTCCCAATTACTATTTAGACCTATTTATAATATAAAAATTAGATTAGATAGGCCTTCATAAAAAAAAGAAAAATCATTTAAATTACCAAATTCGGCCATGTATTCATCAAATTTTTGAAAGAACATTGAATAATCTTGTTGATCATGCTGACCACCAACTAACATTGAATCATTTATTCGATCAATTAACTCTGTAAATTCACGATTATGAATGCCAAATTGAAGCAATATTTCCATAGCTTCAGTCATTGCATATGGTACAGTACGCATTTGTTCGGCATCAAATCTCAATGCAGCACTATCCACGCCCATCTGTCTACTCATCTCATCAAATAGACAATTATTTGGACTACTCATGCTATTCTCATCTCCAAAATGACCTGTCGATCCATTCGAAGCCATTTTCGATCTGTACAAGAGATTGATGGTGCTTGTGCCATCATATGGTTTATGTTCTGCACCTACTTCGTGTAGAACATAACCATCTTTATCGTTAACAATGATATGCTTTTTATGCAATCGACTTATATTATCTATATCATGCTTATCACCTTGATGCAGGTCTTCTGTACCATATTTGTTACATTCCGCACGGAATGAATCGAAATCGTTTTGATATTGTGGACTATTCTTGTAGACCAAATAATTTTCCACTTCTTTCTCTCTCTTTTTCATCTCTTTATACGCCTTATCTAATTACTCAACTTCTCTCTCACGTTCCTTATCCTCTATGGTCTCTTTTCTATTCTTATAATAGGTCATACCTATTTTAGCCGTATCCACAATTACTTTACTTGATAGATTAACTACTTTGTTATAAATGATTTGTGTTAATTGCTTACCTAGTTCATCTAGTATAGCATTCACTTGTTGCTCACTATTCTCGATTTTTGCGTTTATTTTTAGATTACTTATAAGCTTACTTATAAACTTGTCTGTAAATTGAAATACTTCTTTAAGAGAAAAACTCGCTTCAATAAGTGCTATGCTCAGTTTAATCCTCCAATCATTACATTGATTTATTAGAGTAGTAGCAATGGCTTTGGTCACTTCAACAAACAAATAACCATCCTTATTTAGTGTGTTGTTTAAAGCTTCGCGATAATCCTTTAAATTTGTTTTTCTTAGTTTGTCTTTTAGCTCTTGATTTTCATTGAGTTTTTTCGTGATATTCTCGCTTATTGATGATTCAACACTCACAAGTACTTCCGAGAAGACAGGATTTGGTATGTGTGTAAGCAACATAGACAAGCCAACATTCATTGCTACCGCTTTAGACACATTAAGACCAACGGTAAGTGTGGCTTGAAAGCATTTCTGTAAATGTGTCAGATCTTCTAATTTGCCTAACTTATGCAGTGTTTTAAGTCTTTCAAAATACTTCAAACCACCCAATTGCATTATCTCTTTAAATTGTCCGGCATCTTTCAACTTTTGTAAATGTTCCAATTGTTGTAATTTAGTTAGCTTACTGAATTGGATTATGTTCTTTAACTTTTCTAAATAGTCAGCCATTTTATTGAGTACATTTGCCAGTATCGGGCAATTTTTCAATATTTCAGCTAGAGATCTACACGCATTTATCGCATAATCGAGTATTTTGGCTGACGAAGCAAGTGCACTTAAGCCAAGTGTTGCCGCACTAATTGCATAACTAATTACTTTTCCTTTTATGTAGGCATGTTGATCGAAACCAACAGCACCACCGTTCAGTATTGCCAATGTAAAATCGCATATGCCCTCCGCAATCAATGTGCCGGCTATTTGCTGCATAATTGGCAAAGCAGGCGGAATAGCAAATCCGGCTGCCAAGCTAGCCAAACCCATACTGATTTGTAATTGAGCACTTCTAATTATTTGATCTGGCACATCGTAAACTGGTCTCAAAGCAAACGTAGTACTTAAGCCAACTAAACCAAGCTCATTTAGTTCTACATCCATTATAGTTGGCTTTATTTCATTGACACTCTTAAAATAGCCAGGTATGCGTGTATTTATGGCAAAACCATCATTACTACTTTCCATTTGTTCTTTAAGGCTTTTGAAATGGTTGACGTAAAGTATCAGTGTTTGTCTTCTTGATATGATATGTTTAACTAGTAGATTCTCACTCGACGATGGTTTATGCTCATTATTATTATCTGGCTGTCGAGTTAGAACAATTATACGTGTTAAGTTTTCATTTAATTTAACTTCGCCAGTTTTTTCTTCATCACCAATTAGATTCTCTTTAATGTAATTTAACTCTTTGTCAAGTGCCTTCAATGCTTTATCCAAATTTGCAATGGCTTTACTCTTGTATTCATCGTCTTTCTCATAGTCTATGAATATGAGCTTACCGAGGGCTTGATAAAATCTTTCCATCATCGATCGACCTTGTTCAAGTGCAACTTCGAATAGCATCGCATATGCCGAATAGAAGTAGTCTTTAGTTTCTGCTGCCAAGTCAAGAGCATGGTCAATACATTCTTTGGCCTCTTTTGGTCTTCTATTAGTCAATAAAAGTTCAGCTTGTTGAATTGAGTAATACGGATTATGTTGAATGGTACCAACTGAAATTGAGGATAATGATGTTGTTTGTTGATCATTATTGGCAATTGAAACCTTTATAATACCCTTTTCAGCAGCTTTTTGAATAAACATTTTAAATTGAACTTCAGCATCTGCCTTAGTAAATTTCTCTTCTTTTCCTAATAAAGATTCCAACCGAAATGTCCAATATTCTTTTAGGTCGTCTAACACGTAGTAGATTTCGCCAAACTCTGTTTTTGATTTACATTTTGTTTTTAGTTGCATATACATTTGAGAGAAACGATTGAATAGTTCATCTTGAAATTCTAAACCTCTCACTTTATTCTCTCGAATATCTTTTAATCGATTTGTTTCCTTTACGTCACGTGTTTGCTTTATGTTACTCATACTAAAATCCTTCGATTTCAAATCATCTAACCTATATCCAAGCTCTTGAATTTCGCTCTCTTTGATAATTAGTTGCGCCGTACCCCGTTTACCTTGACGTGATGTTCTACCAAATGCTTGGTCTTCAACACGTTTATTGCATGGTAAGAAACTAACGCAAACATGTAGGCCACCCTTAGCTTCGAGTTCATCAGTTGTTCTCAAATCAGTACCACGACCGGCTAGATTGGTAGCGATGATTATATCACCTGGTTTGACTGGTACGTGCGTCACTGTTTCACTCTTATCTTCATTATCATAAATTTTAATGTTTAAATTTTCAGATTTCATATTCGATTTAGATTTGAATTCTTCTAATTTTGAATAGATTTCTTTTAATCCTTGAATTGTTTCACAAATTATGAGAACTGCTCGCCCACTCTGTACGCGTTTTAGACACTCAGCAGCCACGACTAAACCGAAACCCTCATCCTTGACTACAAGACCACTATTCTCAATAAATCGTTTTGTTATGTAAGTTGGCACAATTGCAAAGTCAAGATTGTAGACTTCAGCAAGTAAACTTTGTTCAGCTTTGGAGCCAAGCGTACCCGTAATGCCAAACATATTATTTGTTGCATATTGTTTAATGTAGCCCAAGTTTGATATAAAACAACTAGTCAATGTTTCTGAAGTTAGATGAAGATTATGTTTGAGTTGTAGGAATTGGTGTAGACCATTTGACCATATGGTATTTTTTAAAGTAATGCCAGTGTTTTGAAAATCAACCGGGATAATCACAAGTTCTTTTTCATTTTCATCACTAACATTATTATTAGCCTTTGATTTAATGTTATTGTTTAATTCTTTCTCATTCTTCTTCTGTTGTTCTCTAATTATATATTGTTGATCTAAATGAAATTCATATTTGGCACGTATAGCATTATCAATCCATTTATCTAGTTTTTCTTCAGCATAATTCATTAAATGTTTTGGTATTAGATTAATTTCTGTTGGTTTAGTTTCTTTGATACTTTGTCTTAATTTATCATTGATTGTATCAAGAAATTCTTCTTGCATTATTGCATATTCTTTATTGGCTTCATCTTGACTTTTATTTTTTAATTTTTCTTCTAATTTTTTTTTAAATTCACTTGTTATCTTCTCTTCTGAATTGATTAATTCTTGCCATATTTTAATATAAATATATCTAAGTGATTCCATACCAGGATATGGTTCAGCTAATTTGGCAATATGACTTGCATTATCGATTATCATACTATCTACTTCATCTACAATTACTACATCAAATATTCGTGAGCCGCGTGTTTCATAGCCAAGAAATCTATCTCTCAAATGATCAAATTGAAAATTACCAATATTACCATAAACAATATCTGCATTGTAACATGCACGTTTTCCACCTTGATAATCATCATCGAAATTATTGTGAGCAACATTTAGACATAATAGATCATAGTACAATTGTTTATTATTTATGGCATCTGCTGCCAAAACAGCATTACTAGTAATTACGTCTACTTTGCTTCCTTGTAGAGCTTTTAAAGCAGCTAAAATTGAAATTATAGTTGTATTACCTTCGCCTGTATTCACTTGGCATAATCTACCCTTGTTTGGCATTTTCAAATGAAATATAAGTACGGTTAATATTTGAATATCACGTAGAACATGACCACCAGTAGCTAACTCATTTGCCTTGCTCATAATTGCTATTGCTTCATATATTTGATTTGAACTTAGTTTACCTTTTACAGAAGTAGACCATTTCAACACATAACTGACTATTTGTTTTTGACTATAATTTTTAAGCTTAATATTTAGTAATTTGATTGACTCTTTCACTTTATTAAATTCATTTTGTAGATTTGCTTTTAAATTAGCTAAATTTTGATCTTGATGATGTTGATTATCTTCTTTTCGATCTGGTTCATCGAATTCGATTTCATTTAATAATTGATCAACTAGCTTTGGAAGAACTAATTCTGAACTTTCCTGTTGTCCGTTGATTTTGTAGCTGCTTTTGTTCGGTTCTGGTAGCTTTTTAATTATTTCTTCAAGTTTTTCTTCTAAATCCCATTTGGGCTTCTCCGATTGAGTATTTTTATTCATATTATTAGTTAGATCGAAAAATAATTCAAGTTTATTGTATTCGATATTAAGTCTATAACTTAGATTTTTTAATAGAGCCTTAAATACATCATCCTTCTCAGCTGTTGCTAGACGTTGGAAAATGTGAGTAAATTCTTCCAATTCTTTTGGATATCTATTTTCTAGTTCAATTTGAATTCTAAATTCGAACATTTTGTTTTTCTCCGAATAAAGAAAATCTTGAGCATCTTTTGCATCTACTTTCAGCTTATTGGATGCTTCTTGAATACGTTGTACATTTAAACCATATTTCGGATTTTTGGCTTGCTTGCTCAATTCTTCGTCAAGAACTTTACGATACGCTTGTATGGGCTCCAAATATTGACTTAATTTAATTGTTTCATCAATTAGTTTCTCGACCAATTTCTGAAATCCTGAATTACTCAATAAATCACCACAATTGGTGTCAGATGATTTGCTGGTACTATTGGATGTAGTATTCGCTTTATTTGAATAATTTGCCGGTATTGTCAACTGTTCTGTTTCAGCAGTTTTACTTGTTGCTTGCTTTTCATTGATATTTTGCGATTGTTGAATATTGATCTGATTAGATCTTCTTTTCATCTTAAAAAAAAGAACAAGCATGAAATGAGATTGAATATAAACAATTATGAATATCATCTTATTTATACATCATACTATAATATATAGAATGATTAGATTAATTTAATATCTAAAGCGGTGGAATTACTCCCTAAAAAAAGAGTGTAAAATAATAAAGATCTCAAAATAAATATTTCAAAGGAAACCAAACTTTTGAGCGATTATTCTTTAAAAAATCGCAAATGAAAATTACTGAATGACAGTGGCAGACTATCTTGAAGATAAGGGTGACGCTATCTGGTGCACAATGCAGTTATTCAGTAGTTGGCAAAAATTTCATCATCACTGAGTGCTCAGGAAAAAAGGGTGAGACAAAAATACGAAATTTTTCCAGTATTTTGTTATTAAACTGTGCTAACAGCTGTTTTATTCTTCTAGCTAAATCAGTGTTTTCAAGATCAGTGATTTTCGCCACATCCTCGGCTTCTCAGCAACCTGTATCATTCTGACAACTTCCAACGAAAACACGAATTTGTAAAGCAAAGAGGAAGGATCCTCAATTCTATTGCTAATCTAACAACATCACTCTCACCCGCAAGATCACTTAAAAACATAATTTCATACTACAGAAAATAGACAAAAACTATTTCATATTATGTTTCTGCCATTTTGTCATAATATAGACAATTAATGATCTGAAATATCTCTCACATAGACAGTAAACAAAATAGTTTTCTCTTATATGTGTTTGTACTATCAAACTGCTCATGAAAAGCTGAAATCATTTGTGATTTTCTTATCTTTAATATCGATTCTTACAAAATGACTGAGTTCACTCGTGTGAAGAATATCGAAAAACCATCGAGAGCCCGTGTATACTGCACGGCTGGTTTTTTTTTCTTTTAACGCTTCACACCTGTGCTTTAGCCTTGATCCAGTAAAAGACAATTAGATACTTCGCATTATATATATCAACAGACCTTATAGCCTTATAGCCTTCTAGTCTTACCCTTGTAGCCGTAGACTCCTATAGTATTACCCGCTTATAGCCTAATTTCCTTATTCTCTTATATCCTATGCCTTATGCCTCTGCAGCCCTGTCTCTTTATTGTCTGCACCCTTAACTCCTGATACTCCTCTAGTCTTATCCACTTGCAGTCTTGTATCCTCTAGCCTTATTCCCTTAGAGCCTTATACTCTTGCAGCTTTACCCCGTCTAGTCTTATGAACTTTGAGCCTTATCTCCTTTTTGCCTTACCCCTTATTACCTATCCTCTTACTGACTTACTCCTTTCAGGGACTACTGGTATCCACATCTCTCTAAAAACAGAAGTTGGCCGACTGAACCTTTTCTTTCGGTACCATTTGAAGAACCTTTTTTAGTTCTAGCCAAAGAGTCTGAACTATTTAAAGTTCTAGAAATATTGGCTAAAACCTTTTTAAGTTTTAGACTGTTTTGCTCGAACTGAAAAAGGGTTCTGAATCCTTGCTAAAACCTTTAATGGTTCCCTATGACACCAATTTTTTTAGAGAGATAGGATAGCCCATAAGGACCTATGGGCATCCCAATGCAATTGCCCTTGAGGACCTGTGTGCACCTTCACATAATAGTCTTTGAGCGTCTATGGATACCCCCATATAGTAGGTCATGAGGACCTATTAGTACCTCCATATTACAGCCCATGGTGATCTATGGATATCTCCATATAGTAGCTCTGAAGGGCCTATGGATGCCCCAATATAATAGGCCATGATGACCTATGAATACCTCGATTGGATAGCTCATGAGGACCTATGGGTACGTGCATATTACAGCCCATGAGGACCTAAGGGTACCTCTATATAATAGCGCATGAGGACTTATGGGTACCCCAATATAGTAGCCCTTGGCACCTTTCTCTTACAGCCTTATTTAATCTTTAACCTCTGATCTTTAACCCGGCACAGAGAAACACACACGCACACACTGAACATTATGTACATAGATAGCTGTGAGATATTCGATTTTCTTTCTATGCATGGACAAAAATAGGGATGCAACGGTTCATGATCGTTACCATTGCATCTCTATGAGTCACTGCACGAAAGCCACGCTCGATTCAAAAGAGGGGTGGTCAGCCAAAGTCTCAGATTTGCTTAAAACATGTCTAATCTTATAGTGCGCATCTTTTTTAGGTCTAGAGCCACATTTGTTTCGCTTTATTCGATATCTACGTGCCGATATATTTGGATCTTTCAAAAGAATTTTTATTGGAAATATCTAAGATTTTGTCAAACTACAATACAAAAATCATATTTGAAATTAATTTTCTTCAAGGTAGCCGATGGGATTTCGCTTGAACTTATCTTCCTGAAAACTAACCACTAAGTACTAGTCGATGATGCAAACAAAAGTTTGGGATCTTGAATTGAGCAGGGCAAGGTTTGACTCTTATACAGTGACTCCTATAGAGAATTTTTTCAAATAAGTTAGATGGCCATCCTACCGATTACCGGTATGAACTGGTATAACGGTTACCGGCCGATAGGTTGGCCGGTTTTCGTTACAGTTGCATCCCTAAGCAGAAAAGGAACAAGAAACAATATTCTTAATAGCAAAAATCTCGTTTTTCGTTGCTCGAAGAAAAAAATATGTCGTTTGAAATATAATTATCTGGGCTATTTTATCTTTCCTTATATATACGCCCGTCTTTATCACCGACGCTCTCACGAAATAATACAAAAAATGACGTGTTTCAAATGGAAATGGGCATGTACCCACAAAATATAAGATTTCACAAGCAGTTATTGACGTGATGTTATCTTTTTTCTTTCTATTAGAAGGAAAAAGCAATGAGAAGCAATATTATACATGGAAAATATCATTTTACCTTACTTAATAGAAGGAAAAAACACTCTTCACCAGATACATATATAATTATATTCTTGATACATAAGAAGAGGACAAAGAGAAGAGCGCTATTGCATGTACTAAAAACCTACCATAAGAAAGAATTATGTTGAGTAATATATCTTTGTTGTTTTTTTTCTTTTATTATGTATACATGATGTCATCTACACTTGCATCTATATCATTCTCTTTCCTCTGTAAGGTATTTTTCTAATCGTATTTACTTGTTTTTTTCTTTCTTTATTCCACATGAGAATGCAAGTATAGTTCACATGTATTCAAGCTACCTTTGGTGAATTCCATCACTTGCGTAAGTCTCTGGTATAAATATCCGCTATTTTTGTGTGAAAATGCAGTGTTTTTAGTTGCGAAATAAGCTGCATATACACAATAACGCTTTTTCGGATATAGCAAAGAGATACATTTATTTATGAATTGCCTTATGCTGTAAATTATTTGCCAGTAGATATAATTTCATATATCATTTGATGTCCCTTAAGTTTTAAAAGCCATCAGAAAATTGAGATACCGACATAGCTCACTTTCCAGCATACCCCATTTTACTTTATTTATTGAGTTCGGTTAGATAGTAGTTCTACATATCTATTGGTTTTCTTTTCGTATATTTGTGTTCATTATTTTCCTTCTTGTTCAATTGGCATTTTCTTGTCATTCTTTCCTCTTTCTTTCTTCTTTTCTGTACATCACATATAATTGGATTCTTCCACCTCTGTCTGTCACATATGTGGTCCTTTTGTTTTTTTTTCTCTATGTGTCAACTGTTTATATGTATGATGTTCAATAGGATCTATCTCCATCTTCCGATGAACATTTCTCATGGATATATGAACCGCTATCCTATATATCAGCAGTGTCACATTTTTAAAACTTGGAAACTTTTCCAATAAATTTTTTAATTCAAAATCGATTTATTTTAATGATATATTTTTTTTTGAATTCATCTTGAATTCATTTAGATTCATCAATATGGGTAACTCTTCTTCAAAGGAACCAACAACTAAAACAGAAAGGGAGGGTGATTACATTTGTACATACACTTGGGAAAGTTCGCCTGATGGAGAACGTTGGAGTGATGGTGTAGTCGGCGATGTAACTGGTGCTTATGCAGGCTATTATACAACATCATATTCCTCAGGTTGGGTTTGTAACTCGCGAACTTTAGCACGCGATGTCAAGTTATATCAACAAGGTGAAGGACTATGGTGTGAAGCTTGGAAACTAGAAGATAAAGGCGAAACATATCAGGCTCAATGTAAATTTAATCAGGCGAAAGAGAAATTCGATGAATCAAATTCAATGTATCAAACTGAGAAAGCTAAGAATTTCTCACTAATTGCCAGTTTAAAAATACAAGGCAATGCATCATTTAATGAGGGTGATCGCCTTTTAAAACAGGCTATTGATCATTTAAAAGAAGCCTACCGATTAAAGGAATTGAAGCGATTTCACGATGCTGAACAATGTTTGAAAAAAGCCAAAAAAGAATTCCAAGATGCTAAAGATAAATTTCGTCAAGCTTATCATCTAAGCAATAATGATCATCGATTCAAAGTTTGTGAAAACATAGTAGATGATAATCTTACAGAGATCGAAAAATTAATGGTTACAATTAGCAATGATTTTATGAATAGCCTTACGAACTCTCAATCGAATGGACAGAAAGAATCGAATTTCGAACGAATCACAACGAGAACTTCACACATTTTTGTTCTTTAAAATAATAATGTATATCTAATATTCAAGAATCATGTCTTTTAGTGATGCTTTTTTGATAACAAAAAAAGGATTGGCGGTTTCACCATTTTTCATTTCACACGATTTGATTCAGATTTGATTTGTATGTTAATCAGGGAACCACAGTAAGCCTTGCTATTAAGTCAAAACCCTGAAATTTTACTGTTCAATTTTTTGTGCCTGGGGTTCCCCTCAGGGATCAAAAACACAATTTTTTGTCTTTCATTCTGATCTCTTATAGTTATTCTGATGGAGCTCATTGTGCTGATCATGAATATCAGATTTTTATCAAGACTTTATAGGCAAATAAGAAATTTTTGAAGCACTTTCTCTATTCCAGTGCTATAGAATTTTAGCTAGAAAATAGTGTTACTTTGATCCATATGAGCTTCTAAAATTCTCTTTGGAATATTGAAATGATTTCAATATAACTCAATTCTCCGTCTTGTATTTAGATTTGGAAGAATTTTCAAAAACATGACTTGAATGCTTCTGATTATAGCGGATGCTGAACCCTCATTTGCTATTATATATACGAATTTATCAAGATTTCTTATAGCATACTTTCATAAAAGAACTTCCATCCATTCTGAAAGTTCTACTGAATAAGTAATTTTATCCACGCTTTGTATCTCACATATTTTTATCAGGAAAAAAGTGAACCAGGTATCTCACAAACACTCAGAAGGCAGATCTGCAGCTTGTGAGACATCAAAATAGCTTGGAAATATCTATGCAGGTGTGGGTGTCGGTGTGGATGTGTGGGTGTCGGTGTGGGTGTGACTGTGGTGTGGGTCTGGGTCTGGGTGTGAGTGTGAGTGTGGGCGTTCAAAGAACAAAACGGTAACACGCACAACTACACCCACACCCACACCCACACCCCACCCCACTGACTGACATAAAACTGTATCTTAGTTTATAGATCTTTCAGCATGAGATATTGCAGTTTTCGCTAAATTTTCAGGAGATTTTGCAATTAGAATGTGTTATACTTCGCTTTTGAGACCTGAATATTGAACAGTGAATAGTTTTCAATTGCAGTAGTCAAAATCGAAAGTTTCGAAATTCTTTCGCAACCAACGCGAAGATATGACTTTTAAGAACAAAGCGTATTTTATCGAATAACTAAACAAAGGAATCAATTGTTTGAAAATTCCATATATCTCTATTGGTGGCTACAAAAATTTTGAACTTTGACTACAACTATTGAGAGCTACTCATTATTTAATTTTCATGTCTCAAAGTCGAAATGTAACTCATTCTTTTCCCAAAATATGCTGAAAAATTCAAGATTTCAGATCATGAAGTCTATCAATCAAAGCGAAGATTTTCTTTTACACTGCTCATTGAAATCTATTTAACGGCAATAGTCTTGGACGAAAAATAATTTTATATCTCAAGAGAGTTTCTCGTCATTATTTTTCTACCTCTCAACTGTTTCCATTTGTTACAGTGATGTCGCCTGTATACACACATTCTCTATATCAGTATTATCCTCTATCATCTTCCGTCTCTGTTTGATCTTGTATTCGTTCTTTTCGTTCTTCTCGTTCTTCTCATGATATATGTATTCTTTTATATCGTTATAAAAAACAGTTGTTACTTTTCCTTACG